ATTAATTGCATTTCCGCTTGTATTAGAATTCTGCAGAAGGAACGGTATATAAATTAGTGAATTAATTTCGAATTTGACTATGGTGAATAGTACAGATCTGGAAAGAAATATTTTTCTAATTCGTTTTTAGAATAATCGAAACTGCTTCGTAGAAGCGAATTTGAAAGGAACAAAAGATAGGAGTGCGAGTTAGAGAGAAAAGGAGAGAAAGAAAGCGAGAATGAATTTTTTCAAAGTATAAAAAAAGAGAAAAAATCAACGTTATCTATTTTGGCAACATATTTCTCAACATTATGATATTATACTGTATTTATTAGCAAATATTTCAATTTACTTTTTCTTTTTTCTTTGCGAGTAGTCACGCGTCGCAAAAGAGGGTATAATCATTCGTTCGTAGATGTTTAGATTCGTTTAAAGGCGTACACGTTCATCGGTTTCGTCAGGTTGTTGCAGCATCACAAGTTTTACGTGAATGCATGCCCGTTGATCACGCATAGCACGCGGTCATTTTGTACATCATTGTGAACATGTTTTCTTTTTGTATCGGTTTCCGGTTTTGTTATGAATTGATTTCGTGTTATTTAATGTTAGCTGTTGCATTTTTTTTATACCGTCGGCTGTTCTCATTTGTATTTAAGGGACTAAATGCGCGTAAAGTGTTCAGTGATGAAACACAGAGAGTGCGAGTGTAAGAGTGAGAAAAAGAGAGACAGAATGAAAGGATGTATGACCAAGAGAGAGAGAGAAAGAAGATTAGTAAGAACGCTACGTGCGATCCGATTCCAACGGTATCGAAGAATCTTTATGCATATCTAGAGAACCGTTTTAATTTAATAGATGGTTTGTCTGTCGAGTATGTCACCAAATAGATGTTCCTACCTCGAACAGTCATCTTTGAACAGAAAAACCGAGTACAACAACCGAATTCTAATCTCTTATCGAATATCTAAACAAACAACACGACTCCGTGAACTCGGAGGGCAAGGGAGAAAGAGAGAGAGAGAGAGAGAGAGAGAAAGAAAGAGAAAGAAAGAGAAAGAGAGCATCGTTTTTAATTTTTAAACGACTTCGCACCGTACCCAGTTCGCGTGCACATTCAGAACCAGTAAAAAACTAAATCCGTGATATATAGTTAATTAATGTAAATGTAAAACTTATCGAACATATACGTTGCTTATTTATTGTAACTAATATAAACAAAAAAAAATCGTGTTTAGATTTTTACGTTCTCTTAGTATAGTATTATTAGACTGTGTATGCAATGCGTCCCGTTAAGGAAACATTTCTCCTATGATTTTGAGTATTCGAGAACGCTAATCGTAAAAAAAGGAAGAAAATCAAGAAATAAAGTATTCCATGAGCCGCTTAAATATTTTGTATAGTGTATACAATCTGATTGTCAGCACTGCACGAAAAGAGAAAATAGCGACTTATCTTTTTTCGATGATAATGGGGCTATTTGTGCACGTATTTGGTCGCGGTCCTGTGGGAACGCGAGGGCTGCACGCGACCGAGTGTGTACGTTTCAAATTTGTTGTAATGTAATAATGCTGTATATTTGAGAGTGCGAGAGAGCGAGAGAAAGAGAAAGAAAGAAGTATATACCTGTAAAAATTGTACATATTCGAGAACTTCAAACACTCTATGATAATGGAGCGAGAGGACCGCGTAGCTTTAGACCATTCAGTTACATTGTAAATAGAAGACCGAAGTGAAAACCCCTTTTAAGTTGTACATGTAAACTTTGTAAACCGCAACTGCAGGTCTAGAGGAGATCCTTCTTAGCTTTAGAACTTTTTGAGATAGACTGTGCGCGTACCTTCGATATTGTTTCTGTACTTATAGAATATTCAGACTACTTATAACGGATTAAACACGTGGGAGGAAAAAAATAATGAAGATTACTCAGCGATTACGCAGGCATATACGATATGTGAACCCCGGTAGTACCAAATTCAACGGTAATTTTAGTTCTGTCTGGTACAGATTCCTTATATTTCAATAAAATCTTTACTTGAACTTTGCTGGTGTATGTTGGCTTTTGTTTCTCAACCCCCTTGATATCGAATGTATATCCTAGAAATTTGGATTTTGTTTTCTACATTTCAATTTATGTGTAAGAGAATAAAATCTAATAAAAATTTTCGTTGTTTTAAACTGATGGCGTCAAGAAGTGTAGATAAATTCTGTTTTATCCATCGCGTTACAATTCTATTATGGTAACAGAAGATGTTTCAGACTCCTATAATTATGAATTCATTTCTAGTAAATTTAAACATGATTACTTTTAATCTCATGCCAAACTCATATTTCCATTTTTAAATACATATTTTTATTTATAAATATGAAAAATATTTGAATACAACAAGAAGAAAACTATATTAACCATCCTGCGTGAAGTGTGTCACTTTGGGTATTTTTCTCAGTACGGTTGTACCAATGTTGCATGAAGTTCGTCCAAGTTTTTGATACAAGACAAACCATGTGGTCAACGTTTGGTTTGGTTATTCGGAGCGTAGCACGTGTAATTGTCAAAATATAACTGTTTTGTTGCGTGAAAGTTATACGTTGGTGTTTTATTAATATATGGGGTGTATAATATTGAATATAGTTATTAAACACGTTAATCCATTAGGAATTAAGTGACAAAATGCAGATGAAACTGAATACCCAACGCGATTCTTCGGCAGTCGACGTAATAGATGTAGATGATTTAATTTTAACGAGAAAAGGCGGAGGTAGTATAATTGATTATCGACCAGTCTTTTCTTATGATGGAGAGTAAGTATTTTTGTAATGTTTGCTACAAGTTTAAAACCTCATTAACATGTATTATATGTATAATTACGTGAGATAATAATATGATCATAACAATATTGACTGTGTAAAAGAATATGTTTTATTAAATATTATTAAATTAAGTAAATTTGATATAATAAAATTAAGTGACTAGCATCATAGTTTCAAATACCAAAGCATTTTCATTGTTGCAGAACATTGTATATAATATGGAAACAAGTTATAAGAGCTTACAGTACACAAACTGGAGACTTTGTAAAAGAATTGGAGCCAGCAAATCATCGGATAAATGGTTTAGTTGTGCATCCTGACAATTTTAATACTATTATTGCTTGTACAGAGAATGGAGAATTATACTTCTGGAGTTGTCAAAGTGGCATTATCACTAAAAAATTAGTATGAGAAATTAAATGTATTTTCTAATAATATGAAACTGTACTCTTCTCATATAAACTGTCTGCAGTTTGATTAACAAATGTTTGTTTTCCTATATAGAAATTAAAATTTCAAGAAGAACCAAAAGTAAAAACTTTTCATATTGTTAATTATAAAACTCATAAAGGAAATGAGTTACGCCAAGTACTTGTAACTTATCTTTCAAAATGCAATACAATGATCTATGTAGTTTTATTCGACTTAGATAATGGAACTTGTACAAAATCTACCTGTTTATCGTAAGTAAAACTATATACGTAATATATTTATTTCTTACATGTATTTACATTTTCTATTCATTCTAACAGAATTAAATCTCAAGAGTATTATGTTGATATAATTGGGAATCATGGAGAAAATTTAATAGCAATTCTTCATGATGTAGATTTACATATTTTAAATCCAGCAAGAAATCTTATGGATAAATTGTATGTATCTAATTTCACATAGAAATATTATTTATTAAAAAATAGAGAATTCTGCAAGAAATACTTAAAAAAATTATTATATTTTACAATCATAGACATAAGACTGGCAAAACAGGTAGAATACCAACGTGCATTGCTGGACATCCAGAAGAAGAATGCGTTGCCACAGGAGATTCAACTGGTCGTGTAGTAGTATGGAAAAGTTTGTTCCAAACAAGACCTTACACAGCTGTATATCATTGGCACACATTGCCTGTAACAGAAATTGCGTTTAGTAAATCAGGTAAATATAGATTATAATAATAGTTTAAATGAATGCAACAATGGTTGCACATGTTTAAATACTTTCATACAAATTATAGGTGGTCATATGTATACTGGCGGAGGAGAATGTGTATTAGTAAAATGGGTTTTGGCAAATCCACACCACAAATCTTTTCTTCCTCGATTACCTGCTCCTATAAAACATCTTACTATTGCTCCAGACAATTTGTATGTTGCTGTTTCCACCTTGGACAATGGTACTTGAATTGTTTATTTATTTTTAGAATGAGCTCTCAACTTCTTTAAAGCATTTTATACTAACAGTATTGGTACTTAATAAAATTTGCAGGTATTGTAGTTGTAAATCCGCAAAGAAAGTTGACCTCTGTAATACAGAATTTTACATGGGGTGTAGCCTTGTCTTCTCAAGACTTATTTCCTGCTGGCCTTATTGTTGATCCACGTACAGGCTCGCTTGTTTTAAATAGTCGCACTGGACACGTCCAATTTTATAACACTTACACGAAAAGTTTATTGTACAATGTGAGTACTATTTTATTGTATACTATTCTTTACTATAAGATACAAATATAGTATGTTTACATATTGGATGTTTTACAGATTAATATTACAGCACAAAACTTTTTAACTCAAGAACGTAGTTTAATAATTGTGAACACAGAAGTTACAAAAATAGCTTTAAACGACGACGGTACTTGGATGGCGACAGTCGAGGAGCGAAACGATAAATTATCTTGTATAGAAGTTAGACTAAAATTTTGGATGTTTGATTCCAAAGAGCAGTTGTATGTATAAGATATCGCCTTTTAAAATTGATTTAATTCAAACTTTATGCATTTGATTAGGTTCTCATTAAATACATCCATTGAACTTCCTCATGAAGGAGGCGTTAATGCATTACATTTCCAACCAACCTTCGATGAAGATGGAATGCTCGCAGTTACAACGGGGAGGGATAAAAAATTCAAACTATGGCACCTTGTTGAATCCACGTCTATGTATAGTACGTAAGACTTATGTTAATATACTACGATAAAGAATAATACTAATGTGTTATAGAAAAGTTAACATGTTACGTATAATACCTACGTATTCTAGAAAAGGCGAAACATTGGCAATGTCATAGCATAGGAGATTATAGGAATCTGCCAGTAACAGACGCGGGATTTTCGATAGACGGTTCATTAGTTGGTATTGGTTTCGATTCTAGTTTAACAATGTGGACACCCGATACCTGTACATTTAAATGTAGTCTTACTCACAGTCGATACCAACAACCGATAACGTAAGTACCATGCAATAAAAAATGTTATTAACTACGAAAATAGGATTGTCATTATCATCGAAATTTCATTAGACGAATCGAATTTGGAAGACAAGAATCCTGTCATCTTGTGATAACAGCTTCCACAGAACACATTGCAGTGTGGAACATCTTATCGCTTACGTTGATTTGGAGTGTACCTTTGAAAGTTGCAACCCTTGCAGCTGACTCAAAATCTAATTATATGGCTGTTTTTACCACTGATAACTCATGTAAGTAACCTTTAAAAAGGTATCGTATCTTATTATCAAGTATTAATATATTTCCTCATTTCAGTATATGTATTTACACCTCAAAAGTCATCACCGATATACTCTAGGAAAAATGTTATCGAAAAGAGCAGTTCTATTTTGGGGGCTACCTTTATACCGCACCTCCAAGAAAAGCGAAATTCTTCTTATAGACAGTGGCAGAAAAAGTCACAACTTTTCTTCTTAGATTCAAATCAAGTATGTAACAATATACCATAAGATACTCATAAATGATTAAGAAAAATTTTATTAATTCTGTGTGTACATAGGAATTATTAACACTGGAACCGGAATCCGAAGTAACTATATCGTTGGAAATATTGTCTTCAAGTGCCTCTGTACCGGCAACTGCTTTTGCCAATATGGTAGCATCTAAAACAACTACAGACAAAGAGGAAGTCGTACCGTATATTCACAACCATTTGGGCACAACAGGGAGGGGAATGGTGGAAGAAGTAAGTAATGAAACTATTATATATTACTATACAGTATTATATACAAATACACGTAGTACGTAAAGAGAATGCAGTGAAATATATCAGGGCTGAGCAGGTAAGTGACTTGAAGATATACACATGCGATAAAAAAAAAAATTTTATTTTAGAACATATTCTCATTCGTTAATGAGATCAAAGCGCATCTTATATGTACAGTTTCGCGTATACATGTATTATACAAATAATTACAAAAAGAAAACAAAGCGAATACAAATAATATAAATAACTTAACGGAAGGGCTAGATCCACTAACGGAGTGTTAGTTATGAAAAAAACTTAGATTGCTAGTCTCACAAGAAATTGACTTACGCCCTCTCGTTTTCATAATGCTTTTAATCTATACAAGAAAGTAATTGAACGCGAGCACAGGAGTCTTACAGTGACAGTCTTGACAGTAAGTGATGAAACCATGAAGAGTCAAAAATTCTACGCGATTGACATTGCTTCTTGTATCAACTACGCACAGATTACATTATAATAGTGTTCCGATTGGTTTGCCTGTATTTCCGACATTTCAAATGAACTTGAACATGTGCAATAGAACGTTCAATACGGCTGGTCGATGGAGCTTCGAGTAAAAGGATTTATTGCTGGTCGTTGGCCCGGGGTATCGGCGGTTTTGTATTTGTCAGTGTTTCCTCCCTAAACGGTAGTTCCGACAGCGGCGCACCAGATCGAACTTCCTGTAGCGTAGACAATGCCATTGCGGGATCTGTCGCATGTTCTCGATCGCCTGCAAGTTGTACAACTTAACCAAAATGATTGGTGAGGTTTAGCAAAGCTTTGCAAACTGCAGCCGGCAACGCCATGATATAAATAACCATGATAATCGTACCGAAGTTAATTATAATTCTATAAATACGAATATGACTTCGATATACCATACCACCTACAGTCCAGTCCGATTAGATACGCCAATACAAGTGGAGGGAAAAGAGCATTGATTTAATGTGAATCTTGCGTTCCACTTGTAATGTTATCTTACGCATGCTACGTGTTGGTTGCAAGGAAAATATTAATTTCAATTATAGTCTCTACTTATAGAGGATTTGTCGTCGCGTCATCGCAGCGGAGACAGTCATCAGTATTATCGTATAATTTCGGTTTATTCCTACTACTTAATTTTACTCTATCAGAAACAGTGATTCTCTTTGGCGTTAAAAGATTCCTTAGCGACGCACAAGCAAACTTACACTCTAAACATCAGCAGTGTTAAATTAAATGATCAAAATATCATTGAATGCATGCGGTGTATTTTTCCCCTATTTTATTCGTTTTATTTTGTCAATGCGAATTATTACGCCACTCAACGATAACATTTCACGATCTCCGTGTGGTCCTACTGGTTAAAATTATCATTTTACACAACCATTTAAATAAATTCGGTCACGGGAATTATTTTTTTAAAATTTTTTTTAAGAAATCAGCCTCGTTTCCCAACGCCACCGTCTCGCGTTTTCTATTCGTTTATCCGCGGCAAGGAACGGAAGCTTGCAAGTCAAAGACCCTGAGTTACTTGCTGACCGACAATTACCTTCAACACGTGGTTTGGCTCTATGCGCTAAACTCGCGAGAAGAAAATAATCGTTTCCGAAATACCTCGGGATTCTCGAATAGTCGGCCGATAAAGGAGAAACATGGTCCAGTGCCAAGCGAAAGTTGATTTATCTTTCTCTCGTATATCGATTCGGGAGCGTGCAAGATTGAATTGTAGGTGGGTGCAACATATCGATCAGTTCCATTGAACGAAGCGCAAATAGCGCACGGTACTCACTATTTCCGGGTTGCTGGCAGGGTATCCGGACGTAATAACCGCCAGGAACAAGATAGACACCAAGATGCACGACACAAAACTCCACGGTGTTAACTTCATGCCCGACGAATCTCTTGCAATCGACACACTTCAAGATAGGCAAACCACCTTTTCCTCCCCTTGAACGAAAAGTTTCAAGGATTGCCACCACCTGGCTTATCTGAGAATCTTGTGTACAGCGCTGAGTCTCTGCGGGGTTGTAAAATCTTGTTTTCTTTCGATTTGCTTTTCTATTTCTTTTTTCCCTTTTTCCTGGCTACGGTTAATCTCTGTCCGGTAGTGTCACTATTAAATCGCCGTTCACCAGGATACGTCGAAGAACGACCCGCGGACCACTCTCGGTCAGGGAAGAGTTCCTTGCTTGAACGCCCGACGTAGGACTGACTTTGAGAAGTGGCCTCGCCATGATTTAATATAGGAGCTGCTTCTCCGCACTCCCACCCTCTCACGGCGTTTCAGTTGTCCCTCTGACCTAGGGCATTGTCTTTGATGGTGAATCTTCGGCACGCGGCGTTCAGAGAATCATTGTTCGCGGAAGTCTTTGAAACACTTTTAATCTAGAAAAATTGAAATCACTGAACTTTCATCGTTTCCAAGACAAACAGAATTGCTGAATTATTTTATCGTTATTAAATCGCGTAAGAAAATTCTTTCATTTAAAACAAACTGGGGTTTCATTATACAAATTATATATATATTTTTAAAAAATATTTCGAAACTTCGATGCCACCTTTTATCTCTTTAGTTTAAACATCAGTTTGTTAAACTTGTGAAAAATTCTGTTTCTTTGGAACTCGCATTCTTTATTTTCTTTTAACCCTTTTTACCATTTTGCGTGTATATTATCATGCATCCTTGTCGATCTAATCCCTTTTCACCCCCAACGCTAAATAGTTCCAGCGTTGATACTTTTCGATAGGAATAATATTTAAATACTTCAAAAAATATTATAGAAAGGGTTCACAATAGAAAAGAAAAGAAATGCTCGCTATCGTCGAAGTGACAGAAAGCACTGTTTAACACGTTCGCTACCAGCGCTCAATTCGGTGACGGTCTCCTCAATTATAATATTTTCTTTAATCCAATAAATCTTGTAAACAAAATATTAGAAAAATGAAATTGAAACAAGTCATTGAGTTCCTAAACATAATGTCGTAGTTTATAATTTCTAATAACAATATCTACAGGATTAATTTCATTTTCATTAAGTAAAATATAGGATTACGGTCGTCACAAATATGTGACGCTGGTACCGAACGTGTTAAGACGTGTTAAATAAGAGCCGCGGTGGAGAGAGTTAGCTTCTCGCGGAGAAAACGATAAGGGGTGATTATGAAATAACCGGGTACGGTTGAAATGACAGTAAAAACAGTCGGTCGTGACCGTGTCTCGCGTACGGGAACGGAAAGATTGCCGCGTATCGCGGCCGGAGAACAATGAGGATTCGAAGGCGGGGCGTTCGAAGTTTCGTGGCTCGATGCAAAATCAATATGGCCTAAGTTCCAGGCGGTAGTTGTTATCGCGGGAACGCGCAACAAGTGCACGTCTAAAGTTCGCGAGCCACCGTCATGGCTGGCTCGTATTAACGCGATAACATCAGCTCCTCTGAAAGTTAAATCTTGCCCCATTTGGAGACCGGCATAGTCTGGAGGCTAAGCAGATTAAGGATCATCACGAGTGGCGGTCCTTAAGGCCGCATGATCGCTAATGATGCCATTAAGAAGAACGTGGACTCACCGTCTAATTAATTTTAAACGATTGTTCGTATTGCTTTAAACGATGTCGCTTATTGTCTTCAATCTCTTCATCGTCTGTATCTTTGATCTGCATAGAGGGTGTAATATGCAATACCCGTGCGGGCCAGATGAAAAAGTCGCATCCGTGATGGCGGGCGGTATTGCCAGGCGTCGTAAACAATTTAGACATGGATTTCGACAATAATTTTAATTATTACACGTATTTCAAAGCAACCCTTTGTAATTTGATTTCAATAATCTCCCATGAAATCCGGGGTTTGGACTTCAAATTAACCCGATTAAGTTACAACTCTAGCATTCTTGAAAACGTAAAAATTCAAGAGCGAAAATAGATGATTTACGTATGATTCTTACGAAGAATTTTAAAGATTGTTCCTGTGACGACATTAAATTGAACGTAACACGTCGTGACGCGTAACTAATTAGGCGCGTACACGACGCGACGATGCGCTTACGGCAGTCGGATATCCGCTAACTCACCGCTTTCGTTCTT